CTACTTTATTTTGTTGATGCCGATCCTGCTTCTCAGCTCTTGGAACCTGATTCTTCCAAGTGGTTTCGTCAGAATGTGCGCGAGCTGTTGATCAGTGACGATGCACTCCACCACGACCTCTTCCACGCACTCCCTGATGAAGTGAAAGCATAGGTCGATGTGCTTGCTCCTGTCGTGGTGAATGAGGCTCTTGCTTAATGAGATAGCTGATTTGTTGTCCACCTTTGGAATCGATGGACCCTCCTCCTCCCCAGTTAGATCCTTCAGCAACCGGGCTAACCGGACGACCTGACAAGCCATCGCTGTTGCTGCCATGCATTCAGCTTCGCAGGAACAGAGGGCCACCACACCACCCTCTGCTTCTGTGATTGCCAGCTGACCGGGTTGTTGTTGAGGAAGAAGAGCACGCCAGTAGTGCTCTTGCGCATGTCTGGATCACCGGCCATCTCACTGTCACAGTTTGACAGTGAAGAGCTGGAGCTCCTGATGTAGTGACAACCGTAGTCGATCGTGCCGGCGATGTAGAGCAGGATGTGCTTGACTGCCGTGAGATGCAAAGTGATCTTGGGACACTATAGGGGCCTTTTTGCAAAATAACACAGGTGCCCCCTTTTAATAAATTACGGAGAAGTCTGGGGTCATCTACGAAAACTGTGCTCAGATCCTTTTGTTCTTTCTCTTTTCCTTATTTTCCTTATTCTCGGCCAACCCCTTCGGTAGGCCTTTCCCTCGGCATGCCCGTTGGCCCAAAGGCCCAAGCTGCTCCACGTCGATGAGGCGAGGCGTGCGGCGGCATGCGTTCTGGGTGATGACATGGAGAGTGGTGGCATGCTGGTGCTGCTATGCGGTTCGGCATATGGTGTGGCGGCCCGGCGCACAGATGGATGGCTACGTGTGCTTGCATTTAGGCGGCGCAACAATGCGGTGCGTGCGATCGAGATGATGAAGTGACATGTTCGTCGTGTGTAGTCGTGATGGGCAGCGTGTGTGGGTGCGACCGTTGGGTGGCGCCAACAAGAGTGGGCAGACGAAAATTTGATCTTTCTTAGATGTGGTTTGATTTATAGACACATGCACATGCACGTTAGTACGCTAGTGAATTTACTTTCGGTGCCAATTCGCTAGTCATATTTGCAGATCGTGTGAATGTGATACGCCACCACGTGCACGTCAGTGCACGTGCGTACCACCACTTCATCCGGATATATTCATCAACCTCTTCATGGTTAGCCATCCTTTTTGCATCTAGAGGGTCGTGTAATGCAACAATCAGATCTGATCTAGACGTGATAAATTTTTTTTTTGAGAGAAATGATCTTCATGGGGAGGATCATGGGGATGATCAATACCTTTCGATCTTGTGAAGTTTGCTGTAAGTTGGTTTGTAGCCGTGAAGATCGTTGGTGCAGTTTTGCCAATCATCCTGGTGAGAGGGGTTTGTCGTTGATGATCTTGGCGTCAAGGTCACCTCCTCCCCATCCGCATCTTGGCGAAGCTCCATGCTGATAACATGTTGAGAGTATTGTGGAACGCAATGGGAAACTAGAGACGAAAAGCAGAAGGGAGACACAAAGTAGACACAAGATGTAGGATATTGGCTCTTATCTTTATAATTCAGATCTCTGGAGTAGAACTACATTTGTTGAGTCATGCCCCTTAATAACAGGTGGTCTGCTAGGCGTATCCAAGTATGAATCCACCAACCTTTGGCTTGGGAAATGGGCATGACCCTAGTGGGGTCGGTTTCCAAAAGTATGGTTAAGGAAAACACAAATAAGCACTTAATAGTTTTTTAGTTGGACAGAAGAAAATACATGATGCATGTATGGCAAGACAATGTGCATTTTACTTTAATATCTTGACGAAGACTTAAATGTATAATTTTGTTTTCATCATTTTCTTAAGGAGTATGTGTTATATACATATCGGTCCATGACAATAAAAATATAGGCTAAATATTGGTCATATCATCCCACATATTGGTCTACACCGTCCTATATGTGTTAAAATGATAGTTCCGATATGATATGCTAAATCGGTAGACTGCTGAAACTGATATTAGAACCTTGCTTGCCCTCAGAGCATGCGCTTGGTACCTAATGTAGTGAGGGATTTAACAGACCATATAAAAGAATCATAACTCAATCGATGTGTTTTTTAGTTTGCATAAATTGTACCACGCATTTTTTAACTAATTTCTATATAGGTGCCTGGAAAACAGTCATGCCAACAATGCTGGCCACTCCCTTGATCAACATGCCCCCAATGGGTTGGGTTTGGATGGGTAGAGCTGAACCAGATCAATACCCATATCCATAAGTTCGTTTATTGCCCATCCGTGAAAGTATACATGGGCAGACATGGTCCGTACCCATACTCTCTGGATATCCAGCAATCCATGGATATCCATATCCATGCAACAATGAAAACAACAACCATAACAATATCTTACATATCATCAACAATAACTATAAAAGGTCACATAACACGGTAGACAATACACGTTAAGAGTTTTACATACATCAGAATTCAGAACTACAAATGACAAACCACAATATGGTTAATACTTACTCGAAAGGAAATTAGGACAGGTTATATGACATGTGTCACTGCCATGTGGGCCCTGCTTGTCAGATGGGTATCCATGGAGCAAGTTCTAAATCCATGCCCAACCCATGAGTTAGTATCCATCCGTCAAAATCCATGGGTAGAAAAGGTCCTCCAAACCTTTGTCCAACGGGTTGGATGTCCATGGATACCCGGATCCATCGATAATATTGACATCCCTAATATACTATGTGATTGCAGTGCCAATCATTTGTCCCTTTTCCGATGATAGTGTACACCTGAACTGTACCTGTGATCATGCTGTTTCACCTATTGGCCATTGAGTTTGTGGTCAATGCAATAGTATGGGGGTGACATGAGCAGTAACTTAAAGGGATGTGTATAGTACCAACACAATAATACTAATGAGTATGAGCATAGTAGCTATAGGATTAAGTCTAGGGATGGTCTTGCCCCAGTGGCATTTGGTGTGATGCCGAGTGAGTGCGTGCCGCCAGCGCTCTCGAGCCGCGCTTGGTGGCTAGGGGCCGCTGTACTGCTGTTTCTGCTGCTCCATGGGGGGCTGGCAGATACAAGCGGCAGGGCCAGCGTGCTCCTAAATAAGCTCGACGAGGTTCCTGATCCGGCGGAGGGGCCCCGCCTCGTCCTCGACCCCAGCAGTTACCGCGGTGGTGGAAGCAGGGTTGAGGACGAGTGGAGCACCAAATTCCGGCGATTGGGTTGGAGCTCATACACACCGGTGCTTGTGGAGGTATGGCGCCAGCTGAGGCCTCTGGCTGTGGCGTTCAGCCGCCGATTTTAATCTCCCTGCCGGTGTATCTTCTGGCCGAAAGGCGGCTGTGTGGAGCTTTGGCTGCTACAGATCGGCGCCGGCTCCTCTTCTTCCTCCTGGCCTGGTGCCATATCACGAGGCAGTGCAGTCTAAGCTTGGAGTCCATCACCTCTTCCACCGGTTTCCTTGGGAGCTGGTGGGGCGTGGTGGCGACATCACCACACTGAGTGGTTTCGTCCCTGGTGGTGGCAACGCTGCATCCGAGCGAAGGACCAATGTTGGACCTGGTTGTAATCTAAAATCTTGCTATGGGGTCCTCCGTGCAAAATGTCAGGGACTTGAGTGTACTTTTCTTTTCTTTGAGTCTTTTTCCGAGCTTTGTAATGTCACCGCCCTAAAATAATGTAGCTCCCTGGATCCTTTGGAATCCATCTCTGTTCAAAAAAAAAAAAAACTAATCAGCATACCATTGGCAATTTGTTTACTAGATGTGCACTAAAAGACGGACATTGGTTTACTAGATGCACTCTGGACATTGTTTCATTCATTGAAGCTCTTCTGTGAAACCCATCATGCACTGTATTCATCGAGGCACCCAATCGTTGCATTTAGTTGATTGGTGCTCCATACGTGAGTTGTGCTTCAGAGAAATTTGATATACATTTGCTCAAATTTACGCATTTTTCTTGTGCTATAATCGTGCAGCCTGTGTCCATATATCACTGGTTACCCACGCATTTATATTTTTTAGCTTTCTTATCATACATTTGGAATCTGCTAGAGATCATTTGTCTATGGTTTAATGTGGATATGCATATAAATGAATTGATAGCGATTCTGTCGGTTGCTAAAAAGAATATGAATATTATTTTATTATTCTCTGCCCTGCGTGAAGTATTGTTTTATTGAAATTGCTTTCTTGCTCAACCTCCGCAGGAGCTATTACCGCTGCACACATGATGGGTGCCCTGTCCGTAAGCATGTCGAAAAAGCACCAGATGACATAAACAATATGGTAGTAACCTATGAAGGTAAGCACAATCATGGTCAACCATTTAGAAGCAGCAACGAATCAAGGGATGAATCCGTCTCTGTGATCACTCCAGCAATGACAACCACTGAGCAACCCAGTACAGTGTCTTCAACATCGGGTCAGAAGCTTCCAACCAGCACAGAGAAGGCCGCTGACAGTGAGTCCACCATGGACACAACTTTAGAACTTGGAGGTAAGAAGCCACCAGAGAGCGCACAAACCCCGCGCAGCATGAAAATTAATCCAGACGGCCTGAAGAATCCCCTCCTGAAAGATACTTCTGCAGCAGTTCCTGTCCAAAACAATTAATTTGTGAGGATAGGTTTGATTCAACTAATGCATTAGTTTGTGTTATTTATATTTATTGGTTATGTGAGCTGTTGTTGGGTTAGCTTCTGTATATGAGATGAGGGTCAGCATCGTGCGGAGCATCACCGGATTGCCAGAAGTTGGGACAGAGAATCTAGGTTCAGGAAGCCATGATGAAACTTACAGTTGTCCCTTTGTATAGATTTCCAATCCTTACCATGTATAGGTACTGTAATCGCTTCTGAGGCTAAGCAAAAAGGAGACAAAGAACCTTCTTCATGTGTGGAGTGCTCTTTAGCTGTATTGTTCTAGTTGGATTGATCACAAACTTTAACTGATCTGAGATATGATGTATTCATCTGTCGTTATATTCATGGTGTATGCAAGTTGACAGTCTATGGATACAACGCTACACTGTTTGTTGACTACGTGCATTGACATGTTACATTAAATTCCAGTACGCTTTTGTGATCCTCCCAAGATACTGCTGAAGAACTTGTGTACATCCTAAAACATAGGTTGATGTTAGAGATTAATCGTTGTGGTGTAGCAGGTTTAGAGGTTTTCTCGGAGGTGAAATTTAAACTTCATAATTTGCATGTCTAAAGAGTCGGAGTACATTCTTCATAACTTGTTAGAGCATCTAGATCCCGGAAAACGACTCGGCCTGGAAAATAACAGCCGTTTTACGGTTCCATGGTGAAAAAAAAGACCCGAGCAGGTCCTGAAAAATGCCAGCCCGGATTTTCTTCTTCTGGGGGAGCAGTACATTCGACCCTGAGTGCCGCATATGTGCAGTTTTTGTGAAGAATTGATTGTAAACGAACAAGAGAGTCAAACAAATGAATCGATAAGATACTTTTCCATTGATGATTGAACACTTATATACAGGGGGAACGGACGCACCCAAAGGATGCGAAGGTTTAGAAGGCGGTTCCTCGAGGCGATGCTCCAGAAATGATATGTCGGTTCCACACCGAGGGGATATCCACGTGCGGTTACAAGTAGAGATTGAATTAACTAAATACATTAATTAATTAAATTCTAACACTCCCCTTAATCTTTACTTGTCCTTGAGCGTGTTCATCATCTTGAAATAGTCTCCTCTAAAAAAACCCAGTGGGAAAAATATGAGAAGTAGTGTAGGATATATTGGTAAAACTCCTTCAAACCCATTGGGAAAAATAAGGAGAAAAAGTTCCAACATATAATGAGTATTGCCTCTGTTAACTCGATATGAAGTGTATCCATAGAATTTGGAGGACAATAAATATGTCGTATATACTTTCCTAAATACCCCGTTGGAGAAAACGGAAAATATGACATATAATCTTGTGTTGATATTACCTCATTGAAACCTTTATGAGAACGTGTATAGTAAACTCATGAGGGGAAAAAAAGTATAATATGATGCATTGAACAGGAATAATCCAGAAAGATACTCCCCCTGATTCTTGCAAAATTAGAAGCCGTCACATACCAATTCCATGAACACATTTCTGCAACATAGAAGTTGGTAGAGACCTGGTGAACAAATCAATCGAATGATTTGACTTGCAAGATATGCAATATAATGATATTGCTTATTATGTAACCTGTTTGCATCCGGGCAACACAAGAAACATTATCTTTGAGATAATGGTTGGTGGATGTAGCCATGAGGTCTGTTTGAAAGACTCTTCATGAGAGGGCTACCACACCTAGTAGGAACACTAAGCTTGTCTACGATCTGACATAGTGGGGATCTGATCGATGTATCTAATGATATCGGTGTTCACATTTCCATGAAACTGAAAAACCAGGACAAAATGTTTGATGCCTTGGAGATATCGAAAGATATTCTTGAGTACCAACCAATTGTGTTTGGTGAATCCAATGGCATTGTGGAACGTTGAGTCCCAATATCTCATTTCCATTGTCTCATGGTCTAAATAGATCTTTCTCTACGTCTAGAGAATGAACTCCCATGAGAGTTATGAATGGATAAAATTTGTCCATAATGAATTTCTCCAACATATTATGGATATAGACAACATAGTATACCATAATGTATGAATGAAGGTGCTCAATTTGTAGTAACGAGCGGTATTTTGGTTTATCCAAATCCTTCATTTTAAACTCCGTCATTTAGATGATTACATGTGTAGTCATTGCAGACACATAAACATGGATAATCATCATTGTAGGAGTAATCCTTGTGAATAAGGAACTTACTACGTCGGTTGTACCAAATGTACCGACGATAATAATAAGTCATATGGTAGCTTATTGATTTATCACGATGTATGTTGCATTTTGTACTTCGATTCGGAATTAAGGTTCCGTCGGGAACCATCTATATCTGAATCTAGTGATCTACATGGATATGTAATCACTACATCTATCAACCGCATAGATAGATGATTTTGTACTGCCAATGATATAAGTTATTGAAAAGAGATTCCACCTCTGGACAATAGTTGGGTATCTGCATGAACCCTTGTGCTACAATACTTGCTCTTTGTTTCACCACCTCGTTGTTCTCAATTCTGTTTCCAGAAGAAAACTGGTGTAGGTATTGCTTATGAATACCTTCCCATTATTGAGCAAGATCATTTCTATCTAGATTATACCCTTTGCTTGAGTTCAGTCCGAGTGTTGTTCACATTTTGCCATGGCCATGGTCTTTGGATCTGAATCACTTGAGAGGTTTTTCAATCTAGTTGAGAAATGTATGTCGACAATTGTAGACTTCTGGTTATATGTTTCTCCAGAATCTATATATCAATATATAGTTGATGGAAATATCGTTACCCATGGTGACTGCTCGCGATTTCCCAATGCGATTGAGTCGGGTATTCTGATGTCCCGGTCATTGAGTGCACTATGACCTGGGTTGGTGGAGATTTCTCATCCATTGGGTGTATACTACCCATTAGGTGTCTGTCAACGTGAAGTTGACTTGCATTTACTAATTCACAGGCCTTGATATTCTTGCTTGCGAGAAGCTAAATCCTGATGTACTTCTGCCATACATCTCCCCCTGTTCCTTTGAACGAGGAGTGGAGTGGATTTTGTTGGTACCTCCACTCTTTTAGGCATACTTTTGCAAGATTGTAGGATTGTGTGACACCTTTATAGTCAGTAAATGAATCTAGCAGGTTGTTTGCAATGTGTTGCAAATCTTCTGAACACATAGTTCTGATCTTTGAGTACGTGGATATGATGCAGAAATGTGTTGAATATTCCACTAATTTCCTGGCTTCTTTATGGTACTTGAAATCTCCCCCTAATGCCTGGAAATGTTCCTCATTGAATCAACATACTGGCCTTGAATAACTCCCCATGCAAAGGGCTTGAGGTATTGACGAAAATATAGTTATTCCTCACATAGATTCCAACTATATGTTGAGGGGCCAATGTTGTATGCTGGGGTGGTGATATCGGTGTGTAATCGAATTACCGCAGATGGGAAATACTTGGTAGATTTCCATGTATCAAAGATAGAGGGGAATAACATTATGCAGTTTGGTCATGAGAGTGTAAAACTGCATGACTCCAACGTAAAGTTGGTTTGTTGCAATTCCAAAGTAAAGATAATGAAATGAGCTTAACTCTTTGGATAGGATTCTACCAAACCATTTTGAGTCTAGACATTACAACAAATTGCTAAACTTCAATCCAAAGGCCATCGAGAAGGCCCTCAAGGAGAATTCTGCAATGTTATCCATTCGATTTGCTTGAAATCGATGTCAGGATAATGAGCCAATGGTTTCGTGTGAATAAATCACACACTTAAGACCATCATGTAGATATGTCTTTTAGAACCATGGAATACCTGAATAGTCTATTCAATGGATGGGAAGAGCCACTTACCTCAACTTGATGCATTCAAGGAGTCTGAGTGGTTCAACATACACTTTAAGGTGCATGGACCTTAAAATTAGCTTCCCTGTGTCACTTGTAGTGCACATAAAATCCAAATGTTGTTAGAATTTAGCATCATAATAATCATAAACTATTGAAAATGCTGATAGTTTTGGTTTCAACCCAATGTCTCGATGGCCAAGGCGAGTATGCCAAGTTTGTCATGTACAAGACACTCTGGAAAACTATCTTGTACGCAACATGTGCTACGGGTTGTGTCGTATGTGTAGTACAATCCAGATGATACAAAGAGAATGTGCTTGCCATATCCATTGCATATGGTAAAGAGAAGTTATTTCTCTTTGTTGTCATCATAAGTTTCGCTATGAAAACTATTTTGACGGATACCTCCATAGTTTAGTAGGGTACGAGTTAAACTTGGAAAGCAATGAAGCATCCCAACGTTACTCGAGTACCCACAGGGATAGTAAATATGACTCGAGTTGAGCCAACAAATACCTCATCGCATCTAGTGATTTTAAAATATCTCTTTTCTCTCAATGAGAGTGGAAACATTGGACATCCCTGAGTATAGAGTTTATGGTGCATATGTCCACAAGGCACAAATCATTTTTCATCAGATTGACTCCCGTAAAAATCTATAGATAGACATGAAGATTCTCAAGAAAATCACTGTCGGGTATATAGAATACATACTAATGAATTTGTATCAAAGTGCTGATACAATATATTGTGATATACAATATATGATGACAACAATAATCATGTTCTTATTAGAACATCATAAATGGACATAAATAAATAGATCACTAAGGAGACTAAGGGACTAAATGTATAGTCTCCAAACATGTCGGTTGATGCATATTCAATCATCATGCTCTCCATGCTCATAGGGTCTCGTGACAGCTTGATGGTGTCACGTTGAGGGTTTGAAGTGTGTTTCAAATCATTACCCTTGAGGTCCTTCGTGTCCCGGTGGCGTGGCTTGGATTGCACACGCTATCCCATGAGATGCAAGACTGATTTTGATGTCCATGACCCGCTTAAGTAAGTTGTGACCATTGAGGGCAAGAGCCTCAAATTGTTAGCCATCGATTACTTATAGAGGCAAGCCAGAGATAATTAATTTACAA